TGCAGCAGAGGTTGCGCGCGGTGTCGCGAGCACAATGCAAAAACTGGAGCGACTATCGCAACTAGCCAAGCGCAAGACGCTCTTCGATGACCGCCCGGTCGAGTTTGACGAACTCACATTTGTTATCAAGCAAGACATGTCTGCGCTCTCCGGCCAGGTGCAGGCGCTACAGCAGATGAACGCAAAATTACACCCCAAGGCGAAGCCCGGCCTCGACCAAGAGGGCGAGCACAACAGCAATGTCGTCATGTTGTTGAAGGACAAGCTGCAGAATGTGGGCACAAACTTCAAGGATGTGCTCGAAGTGCGGACCAAGAACATGCAGGCATCCCGTTCACGGACCGAACAGTTTCTCTCCTCGGCTGCGCAGCAGTCCCACAGCAGCCTCGAGCCTGGCAGGACAGATTCGCCACTTTACCAGACACCCCAGCGAGGACGATCACCAGGAGGATTTAGCAGAAACACCAACGCAGTGCAACAAGACTTGCTTTCGCTCGAGCCTTCTGGATCGTCTGCCCTGACGCGGGGAGGAGCGCAATCAGATGCGCAGCTACTGCTCATGGAAGAGGCGCAGCCACAGAACATGTACATTCAAGAGCGAGGGCGAGCCATTGAGTCGATCGAGTCGACGATCCAGGAACTCGGTGGCATCTTCAGCCAGCTCGCACAGATGGTGTCTGAGCAGGGAGAGCAGATTCAGCGAATTGATGCCAACACTGAGGATGTTGTGGACAATGTCGAGGGTGCGCAGCGAGAGCTGATGAAGTACTGGAGCCGGGTGCAGGGCAACCGATGGCTCGTGGCAAAGATGTTTGGAGTGCTAATGATCTGTGAGTGGTGGCTTTGGCATTTGACCCATGTGACAGCAAGCTAACATGGGACAGTTTTCCTTCTTTGGGTACTCATTTCTGGTTAACGTCGTGTGTAGGGATTTCCATGTTTGTGCATGACTGGCGTTGGGAAAGACGACAAGAGACGATGCTAGGTTGGTCTGGCATGGCTCTTGGTGGAGTCCTTGTTGCATGAGGCGTTGAGCTTTCGTCATGTGTGCTTTTCTATCTTCTTGTATTGATTACATTTTTATCCATGTGTGCATTGACGAGTTCACGCTGCATGAGTGGTCCACGTAGAAATTTGTAATAGACTGTACGGCGCTCCCGGCCAACATGTACACGGATGTTGGAAGCTTTTCTTTTTAACCGAAGACGTGTCTGGGGTACTCTGTAGGTGTATGTACTTGTGTACATTAGCATAGCTCACTCTGTGGGTAGCCGTCTGTGCACAGGGATTTAGCTGCATATGTAGGTATGGCGTGCGGGCCGGTATGTCTAGTCGCTTAAGTCGGCAGTAGCACCATGGCGACGCCCTGAATAGATTCGTGTCACCTGAGCATGGTACTTGAGAGTACACGTAGACTGAGTGTGTAGATGGAGAGATGGAGGAGGAGTGCGAAGAGAGTAGAATACGGAAACATGCATCGTTGGCCGTGGTGAGGGGGCGTGTGATTGGCTGGCAGTGACGGCATACTACCGAAGCTAGGCTGCTCGCTGTATCACCAATGTCGCGAACAGAGATGGCATCGACTGTACATGGTAAGCCGCCCATTGGCATTCGCGACGAGAGGGGTGGTTGGTTTGGCGGTGGGAGAAGAGCCGGGTCGCTCAGATGCAGTTGTTCCAAGAGGGCAAGTGATGGACGCGGCGCTGATAGCAAGTGGTGGTTGAGGTGACAGTTGACAGACGCCACGGCACGGGTCATGGGCCGGGAGGGCTAGATGGAGTCAAGTGGGCATAGCCTTATGGCAGCACTACACCTATAGCAAGACGACGACCGAGAGTGCGGACAAGATGACGACAAGAGACGGCGCCACGTCGGCCGGACGGGTACATGGATTCGTCGATAGGGTTTCACGGTGGCCCACTGGCTGCCGGCTTAGGGTTGGCAGAGCATGGACGGGCAATATTGTCTGGGCTGGATGGATGAATGTGGATTAGATACGTAGGTACGTGAGCAGATAGGCATCTCCACCCCCCAAAAGCAAAAAAATGGCCGCCTCGAGACGGGCGAGAAGGGCGTGGGCCAGGTGGGCAACTCGGCCGTCCCCTGCTGGCCAACCCCACGGCGACAGTCGCATCAGCAGGCACATGATCATGGGTCAACTTTTCCCACATACTAGCGTCCTGCTTCTACAGCATCTATCCTCACACCGACTTGACCCCTTTGACGCCTGACCCGCCAGTCTGCCAATTAATTGCGGCTCTCCCGGGTCGAGTGTGTGCTGGCCGTCGACTCGACCGCGCCTGCTCTGGCCCAAGAAAGACAAGGCCACCGCCGCCTGCATGTCTTGGGCGGTGCCACCACCTCTTTCTTCCTGACATCACCCTCAACCACTCGCTCACTGCATGCATGCGCGCTCCGGCGCAATGGCTGACCTCATATCGGACCAACCCCCGACTCTCCTCACCACCGCCCCCATCTTCGACCACCACGTCTATCTCGCCGAGGCCCTGGGCCTGCCTGCCCACCAGACAGAGGACGACCTCGATGCCGAGCTCGTCGTGCTTGCCCGCGAGGCTGGCATCCAGGATCCCTATCGCTTCATGCCCTCGCCAGCAACAATCTCGCGCGCCGTGTCCACCATGACCCTCGACAGCGACCAGACAAGTTCGCGGTCGATGCACTCCCAAGAGACCCAGTCCACAGGCTTCACCTCGGCGCCTTCCCGTACTTCTCGCGACCATGTCTACTCTGCTGACTACATGTCGGCCAAGAGGATGCCTCCAGCCCTGGCCCAGACTCCTCAGCTGGCAGACAATTGCCAGCAACCCATTGAACGTGTAGAGCCTGCCACTCGATCATCACTGTCCTCTGCCACAGCCACTTCCTCTTTTGTGACGTCCAAAGGATCTTCTTCCCAGCAGGAGCATACTCGCAAAAAGCGAGGTTCAGCCCTGTTCTCCTTGCTTCGGAAAGAAGCGAGATACTTTGCCACCACTGGCCTGCATTCTCGTAATGTCACGACGTATGCTCATAGTTGCCCTTCGGAATTGCACCGCAAAGCCCCGGCCAAGTCTCTGTCTGCAGACTCAGTGTGTGGTCATTGTGGGAGCCCATTGCGACGCTCAATATCCGAAAATGTGCTGACCAAAAGCGAGCTGGGCCTTCTTGAGGGAGTCGATACGAAAGCATCAGCTGTATCACTAGACGCATCGTCATCTCCACATGAGGGTCCTCAGATTTCCAAGACGTCTTCTTCAGAGTCCAACATGACAGCTCGACATGTGCAGCAAGAACCGCCCAACATTGACTCTGCCCTAGCGTTAGAAGCGTTCAAGAGCTTCAGAGTTCAGCAGAAGGAACAATGGGATAGAGTCTCGACGTTTGAAAGTATCCAAAGAAAAGCCCTCGCAGCACACTACCGATGCGAACTAGAGCGACTGCAAGTAAATTATGAAGCCCGTAAGAAGGAACGCATGAAGCAGGTATGTACATAATTTGTTGGTTCTTAACACCTCAGTTCACTCACACCATACAGCACGTAGATGATATAGATCGATTAGAGGAACGGCAGGTATTGGCTGAACACGACCTCCTCGAAGCCCAAGCCCAGGAAACACAAAACGTAGCGACAGCACTCAAGTACATCGAGGCCTACTGTCTCGGCACCAACACCTCACAAGAGCAAACACACACCGTAACCGAAGACGACTTCAAAAAGCTTTACCATCAAAAAATGCTCCAGCAAGGCCTGCCCCGAAAGCACACCAGCGCCATCAACGTCCTGCGAGCGCGCCAAGAAGTCGACTTCAAGCGCCGCCTCGAAACTCAAGAAGCCGAGCTCCGCCAACTGGACCTCGACCTGAAAAAAGACGAAGCCGCCAAAGAAGCAGAATACAAGAAAGATCTCGAGCACCTTGAATCCCTCATTGAATCCCGCAGACGACGACTCCAGCAAAGATGGGAACTCCGCTTTGAAATGTGGAGGCTCGACTGGCAGAATCAGCACAAGACGACCATTGTACAGAAACTGGAACATGAAGAGTGGCCCGAGAAGGGAAGAGAGGGCGAGGCAGAAGATGACGTCGTTCTGATTCCCGATGCGAGTGCTTTGGCGCAATTTGCGAAAGTGGCTGCGTAGGAAAGTTTAGCCATGTTTTTTCTTTGCTTTTTTTCTTTACTCTTCTCGCTTTTTTCGCTTCCCATTGCAGCTTTTATTTCCCCTATCGTTCGATCTGCATATATCGCATTGCTTTTTCCCCGTCATGGGAAATCTGACGTACTGGGGTGCTTTTACGCTTTTTTTCTTTTTCCTTCTATGCTATACCCCCTTTTTTTTTCATCTCCGAGTCAGTTTTTCTTTGGCTTTTTTTTCTAGAAGCGTGGGCGTTTTTTCTTTTTTTTTGCTCTGGAAATTTCATTCTATAGAGCAAAGCCATTACGAAATCTTTTTCTTTTGTCTTTTTTCACAATGGCTTCATGGGGCTTGCATTGGTGGTATAGCTGGCGAGTTTTAGCTGGCGGGTTACGGACGTTCTGAAGAAGATTTTTCTTTTCTTATTTCGTTCTCCGTTTTCTTGCGCTCTCTTTCTCTCGCTGCTAACGGCCGTTCGCTAGTTTACTATATATACCCCCTTCCAACGTTTGCGTTCGTCTGTCTTCTTCTTTTTCTACCGCTTTGGGTGTGCTTGCGAGCGATTTAGACTGGACGAATCAAACGTTTATGTAGTCGATACCTCTTCTTCTTCTTCTCTATATGTTTTGAAGGAAGGGTACTGTTTGTAGATTACTTGGTCGCGCAAGTGGAAGATGGAGGTGAAGTATGTATATATGGAATCACATATACGTGTACAAGATGACAATGTGTAATTGAGAGTAGTAGAGTGAATGTAGCGGATCTTCAACTTTTTATTTCAACAATCTATAGGGTATCTCTATGTGTCATTAAAGATATCTTTTACATTTCCATCGTGAACAACAATCATCAAAACCCCAACAATTCCCTAACCACGAGTAATGTCGATATTATACTGCTCCACCGGCGCAAGCATATCCCACTGCAGCCCATCCTGAACATCAGCAGCCGGCGTCAAATCGCCCAGCCCCATCTCCAAATCCATCTCCGCCTCCTCATCAGCAAGCGCAAAGTGATCAAACTGCTGATTGAAAACCCCTGCTCCACTACCCAAATGATGCAAGTCCTTAGCACCAGGCTCAGGACAAGGTAGCATAGGCGTCGTAGCACCTGGAGTGAAATACGGGCCAGGCGTCTCTGGCATACTGGGTGTCGCCGAATCGGCAAACATATTCATCGACTCGTCAAGGCCACCTATCCAGAACTGGCCGCCAGCCATGGCATCGCGCTCTAGAATCTTTTCTTCGATTTCCGCGTCCGACATGTGGTGCTCGGCACGTAGATGGCGGCGGAGATCGCGATCGAGGTAGAAGCGGTAGGCACAGTTTTTGACGAGACAAGGTACGTCCCGGTCCTTTTCGTAGCCCACGCCCGTGAGCATGGTGAGCATTGAGGCTTCTGGTTTCTTTTTGGATTTGGCGGCTTGTCGCAGCTGCTTGCGGTTGCCGAGGTTGAGATGGTGTTTTCGGATGTGCTGGTCTAGTGAGGACCTTGCTTTGAATGAGGCGCCGCAAGCATCTTGTCCGTTCCAGGCCTGGATTTCTGCGTGCTTGGAGATTTTTACGGCTTCTGCTGCACACACGTAGTTGAATTGTTTATCGTGAACATTTTGAATATGCACCGTAAGGTTGTGCTTTCGGTTGAATACACTCTCGCAGCCCAGCCTTGGGCATGGGTATTGTGGCTGTTCCTGTGGGTCGCCATGTACAGTTTCGAAATGTGACTTGAGTATAGATGCGCTCTTGAATTTTTGGCCACACTCTGTGCATACTGGTGGATGGAATTCGGCTGTATGTGCCTCCAACTCTTCTTTGGTCGCAAACGACGGTAGCTGTGGCGGGTCCGCAGACTCGGTCTGCACCATGACTTCGCCAGCCGTGCCCATACATAACATGCAGAAATGACCTTGCTCTCGCGTCTCGATGTGTGCCCGATGCATGTGCCGTTGTAATGCACCCTCGGTCTGGAACCCGCTTGTACACTTCTGACCTGTTTCCTCGTCCACATGGGCACAGACATATGGCTTGACTGCGAGGTGCTGACTCTGGACATGTGCTTCGAGTGACTTTGCCTTTCTGAATGATTCATTGCACGGTGGATATTCGGTGCAATGGAATTTGGACTCGTGGACATCCCTGTGCCTTTGTAGCCTGCCATTGGATGTGAAGCTCTTCCCGCAACCATTCCAATCGCATACGAATGTTCGTTCGGTTGCCGGATCGCTATGAGCATTCTTCAGATGGCGTTGCAGATGATCTTTGCGAGGGAACGTCTTATCGCATCCCGACTCGGTACAGGCAAATGGACGTTCCTTGTTATGGCTTCGCATGTGTGTCTCGAGACGGCATGGTCGGTTGAATCGCTGGGAGCACGTAGGGCAGACATAGTTCCACTGTCTGCGGGCTTCACTCTCTGCCCTCAATTTCCCATTATCGGTGTAGTTGACCTTCCAGTCAGCCGAATCGTCTGAAGCATAGTCCAGCTCCGTGGTGTCCGCCGCAGCACCTCCGAACATGTTAGATTTTAGACATTACGATGGTGTGGTGGCCATACCTGTTCGAGGCCTTTTTGAAGGTGTGTAATTGGCTTCATCCGTGACCCTGCGCTTCAAAGTCATGGTGGTGTCAAGGATATGCCAAAAGGCTGCTCGTAGATGCGGAGGGTGTTAATTGAAATTCAGGATCCACTGTATTTTGGACGCGCCAAGATTTCACGCGCTAGTGCCTGCGCCGGCCGGGACAAAGTCCAGAGCTTTCTTTCTTTGCCTGGCGCATCAGGTACACCACCTCACCGCAACACCGCCCACGCGCAAAACCACACCCGTTTGAAAACCCGCCTTTTGTTCTACAGATTTTATCACAACCATGTCCGACAACGGTGACGACTACGATGGCGGTGCTGGAGACATGTACGTACATCCATTTTCTCAGTCGCAGAGTCTCAAGACCTGAATAGCCCAAGTGAACACGGCTGACGTGACCAGCGATGAGCCTCTCATCGAGTTCGATGAAGAAGCCGAGCCCGATCTCATGGACGACGAGGACGACCACATGGGCGGCGGCGGCGAGGACCCAGACAACGCCGACCCCAACGACGACAATGTAGTGGTGTCCGGCGATGCCAGCGCGGCTGCAGCAGCCAGAGAGGCAGCCAAAAACACTGTCACGAGCGAGAAAGACAAAAAGGTCCCCAACGACAAGCGCACAACCACGCCTTACATGACCAAGTACGAGAAGGCGCGTGTGCTCGGTACAAGAGCGCTCCAGATCAGGTACGCGCAGGAATTTGGACGCCTTGGACGCAACAAAACTAACATGTTTCTAGTGGAAATGCCCCGGTATTGATTGACGTGGAAGGTATGACGGATCCTCTGCAGATTGCTGCCAAGGAATTGCAAGAGAAGAAGATTCCGTTGGTTGTACGGAGATATCTGCCTGATGGTTTCTACGAAGACTGGACTTGTGAAGAACTCTTGACATAAAGGGACAGTTTGTGGTGTTGCATTTGGCATGGAGTTTGATTTGCTGGTGAATTATCGGGCATATCGGCGAATGGAGTCTTATCTGAGTGGTTGCGCAATTATATCCCGAATCTCATCCGATTCCCGTTAACTCCAAGCCTTCTCCGCCGCATATATGCGGACCCGCGGATCTGATTCCTATAACGAGCCAAAAGACTAGAGCAAGGTGGGGTAGCTAACGTAGCTATTCATTCCCCCCGCACTAATTCCAGGCACAACGTCACTCCATGCGGCAGTTTACAAAACTTCTAAAGGCCCCTCGATTTGCATCTGCATTCCAACCTTCTGCACCGCGTTTTCCCTACCATACGTTACGATCCACCATGTCTTTCGAAACTACCGCCACCATTGCCTCCTTTGGGGGCAAGCTTCTCAAGCTTAAGCACAAGTCTGCAAGCACAAACACAGACATGGAGCTGAACATGTTCCTACCGCCGCAAGCGCTCAAGTCTGGCGCAAAAGTGCCTGTACTCTTCTACCTCTCAGGTCTCACATGTACTGGCAACAATTGCTCAGAAAAGGGCTTCTTCCAGCACGGCGCAGCTCAGCACGGCATTGCCGTGGTATATCCCGACACTTCACCAAGTGTGTAGATACTGCAACAAATTTTCAAGCACCTTGCTAACCCACCATGTTAGGGGGTCTCCAGATTGCGGGCGAGGATGAGTCGTGGGACTTTGGCACTGGCGCAGGCTTCTACGTAGACGCTACTAAGGATCCGTGGTCAAAGGGCTACAACATGTACTCGTACATTACCAAGGAACTTCCCGATGCGCTCTTTTCCTCTTTCCAAGAGCTGGATTCTAGCAGAGTTAGCATCACAGGTCACAGCATGGGCGGTCATGGCGCGTTGACACTGGTAAGTCGGACATGACGCGGTAATTCAACTGCCGGCACTGACCCCTGCTCCTAGTTCCTCAAGAACCCCGGCAAGTACAAGTCCGTCTCCGCATTCGCACCCATTGCCAATCCGATCAACTGTCCATGGGGTCAGAAGGCATTCAAAGGATACTTTGGCGAGGATCAGCAACAAAAGTGGAAAGAGCACGATGCCTCTGAGCTTGTAAAGCAGTGGAAGGGTCCTCTAGAGATCCTCATTGATGTTGTACGTATTTCGAACTGTCAGGTTCGAGATCATTTTCGCTAAGACATGCTAGGGTACCGGAGACAACTTTTACAAGCAAGGGCAACTGCTACCAGAGAACTTTTTGGCGGCGGCCAAGGAAGCTGGCAACGACAAAGGCATTCAGCTCCGCATGCAGCCCGACTATGACCACAGTTACTACTTCATGGCATCATTCGCTGACGAGCATGTTGCTTGGGCGGCAAAGCATTTGGGAGCGTAGTAAGTCTTGGTGATTATTGTTGCTACCGCAGACTGCTCACGATCACAGAAGCGGCGCAGGCTTCAGAGGAAAGCTATAGACCGATGATGGCATTAGTTTGGGGTTAGCACGAGCTGGATGCGTGTGCTTGTTACGATCTAGCGAGGCCCACTCTTCAACATAGATACTCGATTCGCAAGAAGCTACAGTTTCTCCACTAAACATTCACAATAAAGACTTTTTATAATATGAACGTAGAAGGTCGCCCGCAGATCGTTTTAGACTTGAAGAATTATTCCAAATTGCGTGATAGCCCTAGCCACGTATACTGAGTCCTGTGACAGGACACGCGATCTCACAGTGATGTTGGGGAAGCAACGTCGGCGACTATTTTTGTGCGCACGTGTCATTCGGTGAAATTGGGCTGAGGACATCCCACCATGAAAAGCAGGCTTGGCACTCCCACTCCAGTCATTGCATAGCTCTTTTCGCTCACCACAACTCAACAAAGAACCGGATTTACTCTTAATTTTTGCACACCAATACTGCTCTCTTGTGAATTCGAGACGAAGCTCGAACCACGTCTTTGACCACAAATTAGCCCTTGCACACGCCGTACGTCAGCCCCTCGTGCCCCGCCTCTCTGCCTTCACCGCTGTAACGCTTTCACGATGCAGGCTTCACGCCCTACTTTATGACCCAATAGCCGTTCAGTCGCTTGAATTCCCCCTTCACCAACTCCGATGCGCACTACATAATCTAGCACATATCCGCTCCTGACTTGTCACCTAAAACCTACCTGTCTGGCATCGAGCAAGTGGAGGCAATGGAGGAACAAGTATGTGTGCCCGATTGCCTTGCTCGACCAAATACCTTGCAAGCATGCTAACGCGGTCATGTTCAAGGTCGAAAATGCCATCCAGATCGCCGCCAACCCGACATCCAGCCAGGAGGTGCGCGGCCAAGCTATAGGGTACCTGGAACAGCTACGCTCAGAAGGCTCCGCATGGCAGGCAGCCCTTTCGCTCTTCACGCGCAACCCTCGCGCCACCGATTTCGTCCGTCATACTTCGCTCGATCTCGTCAACAATGCAATCCAGGAGCACCGTCTGGATGAGCAAAGCACTACATACATCAAAGACACCCTCATGAACCATATCCGTCAGTCCTATATGCCTGGAAGCGGGGCTGCGGATACAAGCCATATCCAGAACAAGCTGATGCAGACTATCACATACCTTTTTGTCGCCTTATACCCGTCTTCATGGCAATCTTTCTTCGACGATTTCCGCGCCCTGGCCGGGGACCAGGCTGCAATTGGTAGCGTAAATACAGCTACAACGTTCTTGTACCTTCGTATGCTTGGCCAAGTCCACGACGAGATTGCGGATCAATTGGTTACACGTTCAGAATACGAAAAGAAGCGGAACACAGAACTGAAGGATCTCATTCGACAACGGGACGTACAAAAGATAGCGGCTTCCTGGCAAGAGATCCTCGGCAAGTGGCGAGAGACGGATCTTGGGCTCGTGGAGATGTGCTTGAGGACTATCGGACGTTGGGTTAGCTGGATCGATATAAACTTGGTCGTGAACCAAAGTATGATCACCACTTTCCTGGAGATGGCTGGTCAGCAAGGTATTGCTGACCCGGAGAGTGCTGCTGGAAAAGTGCGCGATGCCGCCATCGATACTTTTTCAGAGATTGTTGGCAAGAAAATGAGTCCATCAGACAAGATTGAGCTGATTACTTTCTTGAATCTCGCTGAAGTTGTTGGTCAGCTCATCAATAGTCCAGCTTTGGCTGAGTTCCACAGTCCAAATTACGACAACGACCTTGCAGAGACAGTCGCCAAGCTTGTTAACAATATTGTTTTTGACATTGTCAAGATTCTAGAAAATGAAACAGTCGAAGATCACATTCGGCAGCGCGCAGACGACCTTATTCGAATCTTCACGCCGTATCTCCTACGTTTCTTCGCCGACCAGTACGACGAAGTATGTTCCACTGTCATTCCATCCCTCACAGATCTCCTTACCTTCCTACGAAAACTGCAAAAGAAGACTGGCTCTGTACCCCCGCAATACGCTGCTGTTTTGCCGCCAGTCTTGGACGCGATCATTGCAAAGATGAAATATGATGAAACAGCATCTTGGGGTGAAGAGGGCGAGCAGACCGATGAAGCAGAATTCCTGGATCTCCGACGGCGTCTCCATGTTCTACAACAGACGGTGACCGCCATCGACGAGGCCTACTACATCGAAACGCTCAGCCGCCTAGTAAACGGAACATTTGGACGTTTGTCACAAGGGGATCAGTCATTGAATTGGCGCGACCTCGAATTGGCCCTACACGAGATGTTTCTGTTTGGGGAACTCGCTATCCGGAATCAGGGACTTTATGCGAAGCGTGAGCCTTCTTCTGCGGCTGCTCAACAGCTTGTTGTTATGATGAATAGCATGGTAGAGTCTGGCCTTGCAAACTATCCGCACCCTGCTGTTCAATTACAGTACATGGAGATTTGCGTTCGCTATTACCAGTTCTTTGAGCAGAATCCCGGACTTATCCCTAAAGTCCTTGAAAACTTTGTCAGTCTCACCCACAGTGAACACCTCAAGGTTCGCTCAAGGTCCTGGTATCTTTTCCAACGTCTAGTCAAACATCTACGAGCTCAATTGGGCAATGTATCATACGATATCATCCAAGCGGTCGGGGACTTGCTCACAATCAAAGCCGAGCTGCCTGACAATTCAGAAGATGAAATGTCGTCCGACGAAGAAGACCAATCCGCAGATGCGCTATTCAATTCACAGCTGTACCTGTTCGAAGCTGTTGGATGCATCGCCTCGTCAAGCACTGTTTCAGTGGAAAACAAGAAGTTGTACGCACAAACCATCATGGGTCCATTATTCGAGGATCTGCAAAAGACCCTTCCCCAAGCAAGAAACGGCGATGAGCGGGCCATACTACAGATTCATCATATCATCATGGCTTTGGGAACACTAGCACGCGGTTACTCCGACTGGGTTCCTTCGAACAACAACAGCGCTGTCCCACACAGTGAGGTTGCAGACGAGTTTGTCAAAGCGTCCGAGGCTATCCTCGTCGCTGTCGAATCGCTGAACTCGTCTAGCTCTATCCGTCATGCGGCACGCTTTGCCTTCTCACGTATGATTGCTGTTCTGGGCTCGCGATTACTACAGCAGCTACCATCATGGATCGAAGGCTTGCTGTCACTCAGTTCGTCGATGGATGAGATCAGCACATTCCTTAAGGTTCTTGGTCAAGTCATTTTCACATTCAAATCAGAAATCGCCGGCATCCTGGATACTGTCATGAGTCCAGTCTTGCAGCGCATCTTCACCGCCTTAGCCGTGGTCCCTTCGGGCACAGACGATGAGATCCAGCTCGCTGAACTTCGTCGAGAGTATCTGAACTTTATTGTTGTTATTCTCAACAATGGCCTCGGGTCTGTGCTCGTTAGTAACGGTAGGTTGAGGAGTATGGAGAAGTTGTTATTTCATTGCTAACGTTACCAAGCAAACCAAGGGACTTTCGAACCCATCATTTCTTCCATTGAAACATTCGCACGAGATACGCAAGACTACCAAACTGCGCGCCTTGCAATCTTTGTGCTCATCCGCATGGTATCTGTCTGGGGCGGACCTGACAAGGTTGGACCTGGCGCAAATGCCACGCCTACTTCGCCCGACACCACACAAGCACCATTACCAGGTTTCGACAACTACGTAGTAGAGAAGTTTGCGCCATTGGCATGGTCCATCCCAGCATCCCCAGGTTTCAACGCTAAAGATGCGCAAGCGCGACAAGTCTTGTATGAAACGGCGAATCTCCAGCACGAAATTATCAAGAAGGTTGGTGAATCATATGCGGAGCGTCTCAAGGGGGATCTCAGCGGCATGGGCATTGGCGAAGATGTTCAAGACCAATATCTGCGCACGCTCGCAGGCTCATTCGAAGGCCCAAAGAAAGAGAAGGAATGGCGTAACTTTTATACCCAGTTTGTGGACCGCATGCTTGCGAGCAGGGCTTAAGCGGCTTGCGGGGCCCATTGGTTGTGTCGGCCCGAGAATAAAAAGAGATGGACAAGGTCTATGGCGTCAATCAACTGTAAATGCTGGGAGATGGAGAGCTGGGAAGGCATCATTCTGCATGGTAGCGGGCGCGAGGAACAGCTTGTTTTCTGCTTGGGGGCATCATAGCCTGATTTTTCTTGTGATAACCCTTTTTTTCATATATTGTTCAAAGCCAGCTTGCATTTCGTTTTCCAGAAATGCGGTACCCAATATCAGAAAGATGGAAATTCTTATTTCTTTTTCCCAATCAAACATGGTTCTTGATGTGGTTATCGGAACCGAACAGCCTATCCTCTCTTTGTGTTTCATATTGGAGGAAAAGAAGAAAAGGCACTATGAGAAGCAACCCACTGTCATACTCATCTATTCTTTTTCTCTTCCTAAATTGCTACCGGGTATTTCGCACAATCAACCATGAGAATCCAATCGTCATATATTTGAAGCACCGAATTTAGCCGTAGCAGCGGCTTTGGGAATGCCGATGCCGGCGAGAATGGAGTCAAGCAGTCCAGGCTGACTTCTTAGCATATCCCACTCGCCTTGGTTCTTAACCATCATGGTACCAGCTAATGTTGTGCCATTGAGTGCGACGAAGCCAATCTCACTGCCGTCGTCGCCGTGGAGCATGGTACCTTCTGCACGGCGGGGCAAGATGACCATGCCTGCCGTGGTCATGGCGAGGTTATAGCTGATTGGTAAATCGCCGTTTTCGACTGGGTGCAAAGCAAGCTGATCTGGGTGTGACGAGACGAACGCCTCTACCGACGCTTTTGCTTCTTTATACAACCGGTTATACATATCAAGTAGCTGGGGGCCTGAGGGTTCCGAATCGAAGGGCTGAGCAAAGTGTGTGAAGGGGAGCCGAGGGTTCTGTAATAGCCCGGCTGGGGTGTCTGCAAGTGCGTCTTAGCTGTTTCGAAAGGAGATAGTGTTCGTGAGGACTTACCTGGTGGGTTGGCTTCCTGGCACGATAGTATTAGGTCTATGAGCATGTTCCAGCCGTTGGTCTTTTCAGTGTCGCGCATGCGTTCTACCGGTAGAAACTGTAGGTGTCGGTGTGGTTGAGACGCGCCACTATGCTCTCCCGAGTTGAAGAAGGCGAGAAGGCGCCTCTGTAGTTCGTCTCCCTCCTCGTGCCATGCCTTTAAGCAAGCGTATGTCGCTTCCAGATCATCTTGCTCCAGCACGTGTGTTTGCTTCTTGTTTAGCTTTGTGGCGAGAATGAAATGCTGAGATATTATCGGGAACTTGTTGAGTACGAGAAAATGCGTGGGGTTCGTGGTCGGGATGTCAACAAGGTGTAGTGCTTCTGGCGGGTTTTCGAAGGGGTCAATCTTTTGCTTGGGCGTGGCACCCGCAAGTTTCGGTAGAGGCTTCTTTGCTAGTGAAGGGCAATAGCGCAGTTGAAACTGAGACTTCATGAGCTGTATGCTTGGTGCAATGGCTTGTATATGACTTGCAGGAATGCCATTTGACGTGCGGATGAGTGCCACGTCTGTTGGTGAGAAGATCAGATCTGACGAGGCTTTTGCAGCTTCAAATTTGCGCCTCACAATGCTCGGGAGAGCTTCTGCTAGTTCGAGTGACATTCTCATGAGGGAGGGCGGAACGATGCAGGTGTTGAAGGTGGGGATGATTTAAGCTTTGGGTTCGGAGTTAGCGGTACTAGGAAGGTACGTACGTAGCGCAAATGTCAACGTCACACTTCAGCGCTACGTTCTTCATCATCAACCCACTACTGTCACACGAATCCTTACTATCATCATTACAAATACCCATGACAGGCTGACTTCTAGATGTCTTCTAAGACTTGTTGCATTGTAAAAGGGTATAGTATACAGGATCCTATTCAATAAAACCTCCTGTGTGGCAACATCCAGTTGCCTCGCTTTGCAGCTTTCCCATCTATGCAGTTGGGGCTGCCTTGCACCCGCAGGATGATAAGGGGCGAAGGCTTTAAAAGACATTACAACCGACAAAGTGACAATACGTAGTGGTACAGACCGCAAAGAGAAAAACTCCAGACTTGACAAGATGGGAAACACGCCAAGGGGTTATCGCTGGGCCTGCAACAGCCCAGTGCCTCGCATCATCGTGCTTACTGCCTAGCAAAGGCAAAGGGGCTTCAAAGAGCCTCAAGTTGCAAAGCAGGAAACCCCCTCAAAATATAAAAATAACCTGACAGCCATCAAGTTTACCAGAGATGCGTGCCGTGTTCGGCACGGCCTCAGTCGTTTCGGATCTGCCAGTAATTACTCACAGGCCGGATTCAACTCCAGCCACTTCCTCTTGCAAGTCGAATTGCCAAAGTGGTATGATCCACCGTTTTCCTCGATAAAGTCGGCTACCTTCTTCCAGGAGACCTTCATGAGCTTCTGCTCAATGCTCAACGCGGATGGGTTCTGCAGATTGCTTTCGATGCGCTTCAACTCCTGCCGAACAGTTTCATTCAATAACTCCGTCTAAGGAAGCATTAGTAAAGCTCTGGCTAGATTCTTGGGGCTTTCTTACATCAAACTTTGTCCACACAGGCTTACGGACACGGTCCCTCCGGTCTTTGGTCAAGGAGCGATAACGTCCCCTCAGAGTGGACTCCGCAGGATCCTCCCCGATCAACTTCTTTTTGATCTCTTTGTATGTCTCGCCCCTCTTCTTGCCCTCGATGAGCACTCGGTCGTTGCGCTCGCGTTGACCTTGCGTATTGGCCCTACGAGGGGCTTGGAATCGAGGCAGGATGCGATCCTGGGTGGGTGCAGCGTGCGACTCAGTCTCTATAGGCGAGTGGGACTGCATGCCCCATATAATGTCTGCGGATGAGAAATATTTCGGATTACACCATGGAGACGCGCCCTGATTGCTGGCATGCGAGTAACAATGCTCAGGCGCAGATACCGGGCCCTTCCTGGGAATCTGGATAGTCTGTCCTCGTGCAGTATGGTCTGTGGAAAGAGCAAGGGACAAGCCTAAAGTACCCTCCATTTGCGACATGCCACGAAGTCCGGCATCAGCATAGTAAGTTTCGTGCTTGAGTGATGACACGACTGTATTCGGAGAATACATCGGAGTTGTATCCCAGTTGTAACTTGGTGAGGCTTGATCCGGCATTGACTCTGGGCTGTAAGAGTTGTCGAACTCGTCGCTAGTAAAACTCTTTGGCGATATGGATGTACACATGGCTGCAGTAGACAAGATGGGGTTTTCTCCTTGTGGCAGCCCATTCAAATGAGCCAGCGCCCTTGTTGCCGGCGCGGCATACCCACAGCCTTTGGGGATGGCGTTCTGGGCGGCAAGGTGATTGTACATCACGTCGCTATTCTGGCCAAACTGGGAGTCCGATTGGCGTAAGATGTATGGCTCAACTTGTTGGATGACCTGGTGACAGTCAAAAGAGGTTGAGACACCGGCTGCGCCACTCCAGCTGCGATCTGATGAGTATGCCATGCCGGGGCTCGAGCCCACAGGCGCGGTGCCTGATGGCTTGACATCGTCTGCCGGCGCCGGCTGCAATGGCCAGGACTGACACTGCATGTGGCTATCAGATCTATACTGATCTACCTGTATCTTCGTCAACTATGAGGACGCTCCGATTCGATGATCACTTACTAGCATTGACTGTGCCATGACGAGATCCTGATGGCCGCTGTTGAAATGAGGCAAGGCTGCTGCGGCTTGGTCGATACAGGACAAGCAGGGCTGTGACAAAGAGCAGGATTGACGGAACAGAAAATGTTCGTCTATACTGTAGCGCTGGGCAAGTGCTTGAGCGTCCGTCATGGTTGCGCGTGCGACAAGCGCTTCTTATGGCGATGACCAGGGCGGATGCAGTTACAACACGTGCCGAAGTCGCAGTGAATGTTTAGTCGGGCGAAAGAAATGATTGCGAGGTTCGGTGCCTGTGAAGTGTGCGTCGTTGGAATTGCGGGGTGGCGTGGATGCGTCGAGGTCCACAGGTATGTTCAGCATTCACTGCGTGACGCCGCTTCATTCGCTCAATGTGGTCGAGCGTCCCACAGGCGGTAAAATTGCGGGACTTTGAACAGTGTGAAGAACTGCTGCGCTGTGCCAAAGACAGCAATGGTAATGTAACGTGTGGGCCTTTTGGTGTGAATGGCCGGTGTCAAGTGCAGAAAGGCTGGCCCTGGTACCTATATGGTACAATAGGAGGACAGCGCAAGGCACCTAGTCGATACACATCATTAGCTCGCTAACTGGAGGGAGGATGTTTGAATGAGGTTTGCCTAACCACGAACTGCCACGAGATGTCAGAAGAACCGAAAGATGGGCAAATGCCGCGGCAGTGGTCGCATGAGCAGATACAAACACTCTAGGGTATCTCCTGGCGCACTGTGACTCGTGGGACGAGTCTCCTGGACAGCGAAGAAGAAAAATCAGCAGTAAAATGACAGTTGGATCGTACACTAGCAAGACAGAGCGCAGAGACGAAGCCGAAGCCAGGCGATGAAACAAGTCCAATTACATGAGAGCGTAAGTATGGGGGTTGGAGTGATGGTCGACACGTTTATATTGTAAGACAGTCCCGACCTGCTGCACCTGAAGCTATGAGACTCGCGTTTGAAGCACTCAGCACCCACATCCGATGCCCGTGTTCCATTATACTATGGTGGCCGGAAAGACAGGGCCTGGGCTCTCGGGTAGGCCCGCCATGGCCTGTAGTCACAGAACCATGAAAGCTACGCAACCGCATGGCGGAAATGTGCAGCAGTCGGGCTGTGAAGTGAGCTGTACTGGCTTGTTTAGCACACAGAGGCAGAATTTGGAACCAATCTTGATGTCGCTCAGAAAGTGGCACTGCTGCCCTGGTCCACTGACATTTCCAACGTGGCTAGCTGCGGACAGGCAAATACTAGCAATCTTGAAGAGATATGGACTCAGCCCTCCCCAGCGGGTGGCTGGCAGACCTACGATTGCGATGGCTCAAACGTCAGATCGAGTAAGGATTCGCTCGTCTAGAGCCAACTGAGCTGGCGGGAAATGTTCTACGTCGTCTTGTTTGGCTGATGCGCAGAAGCGAACGGTTGACTGCATGACCTTGCTTGGCAGCAAGCAGTTCGCCAGATACACCAGTGGAAGAGCAGACCAGAGGCCATGGAATCTGGAGATGCAGGTACGTATAACTTCTGATGCCATGGTGTACGCTTGATCGGCAAGAGCCTTGTGCGTACCAGACATGTCGTCAACTATGCCAACACGTTACACACGAGGCTTGCAATCACCTCTGGATCGGCACATCATCCCCCGCGGAAGCAATGCTACTCTTATCCATTACAGTCTCATGTTTCTATTCCTGGTTGGCCAAAGGCAACAAAGCCTGTGTGTGTATCTATTAACACCTAACCCGATGCTGACGACGCCCCTCTCTGTTTCGATGCACCACCATGACTAGAGAGTCACTACCAGGTTAACGCGCACACATATGTATACCGGCCTGCCCTCCCGCCTCGCCTGATGCCTCTATAACATCGGCAGGCTGCATTCTCACGGCCAACAGTGGCCAACGCGACGGTCGTTGTACAGAACATGTGAGACATGGCCCTAGCATGCCCGGCATGCCCGGCATGCCGTCTCGGGTGGCGTGCGGCGCCACCTGGACAGGTCGCGGAGACTTTATCTTGCATATTATTGCATATTTCTGGGGAAGTTCGTATCCGCCTCCGGTGGCCACACGATCCACTTCACAGCGCAAGTACACAACAGCGCCAGTGCAGCGTGCATAGGCAGTGCGAGGGTATAGGAGCCAGAGAGAAGGTGTATACACACAGGCGGGGTGAGGAGAATGTCTGACCAGTGAAGGAAAGACAAAGATGCAATCTTGAATGACAGGGAGCAAGTCTGAGATGAAAGACACTTGAACTAATGTCGCAGAATTGTCTGGATTCATATCTACCACAGCCCGCCATGCGACCTCGCGCCTCAAGCACCAACGCCCTATCGCGATTACACCCATGCGCCGACCCATTTATAAGCTTTGAAGAATATTCTACATCAAATCTTTGCCTTCTGATTACCAGGCGACAGCAGTTCAACGTCCTTCCACGGCAACCCGAGAAATTCCCACATGTAAGAGAACCTAGACGGCACATCTGTCAGCATACCTGGCATCTCTCTACCGATCGTCTGCCGTGTTTCATAACCCACGCTTTTCTGGTCACACACTATAACAGCCCTTGTCTGGGGCGGAAGCCTTGCTAAACGCGGATATACCCGTCGCCATTCAGCTTTCCCTGTCCCCCCGCGAACGGGCATACAAAGTGCGGCAAGGCGCCGAGACAACGAGGAGATGGGCGAGGGGGCACTCACCTGTCACTACCAAAGAAAGGTTCTTCTTTTCCCTTCGAGTTCCGGACAGAGAACCATGGACAGCCAAACGCGCCTTTATCAAGCGCTTCCTTTGTGTTGTCGTTGAGACGCTGCTTGAACGGCGCACTGCTTGCATTTGCCAATACATCTCGGACCTGGTCTTCCTTCAGCCGCAGCTGAAGCACCTCTGCAAGGACCTCTGGTTTACTGACATCTTTGTGGTTCTTCCACATAGCAGTGAAGATGTCAAGGAAGATGCTCACAAAATGCTCGGCATGTGACTCTTTCACATGGCACAGCGCCCGCTGTGGTAGCAAGGACACGATGGGAAAAAATGGCGGGACTCTTAGCTCGGGTACTCCAAAGTATTCTTTCGCCCGCTTGGTATCATACTTGCTATACTTTGCCTTTGCCTCGAGGGTCCACGGAGGCTTGTTGCCTAAGTCTCAGTGTTAGAATCCATCTTATCGGCATGAACCAGCCTCTGCAGGTGCTGATACGCTGGGGAACGGGTAATACTTACCGCTGCCGGCATTGATGCCGCCTAGGAAGACGGGTACTATACTGTCAAAAGCTAGTCAGCCATGCGCTTGCTTTTGGGAGAGGCATGATGCCGTTGGTCATATTTGAGGTCGTCGAATCAAGGTAATTTCGCCGCGGTGCCACAAGATAGACAGACTCACTCGATTTCGATATTGTGTGCTTCGAGAATCGATCTGTTTCGTTCAAGATGAAGCAGAGCGAAGTATGAGTATGGAGATACTATGCGATACGCAATTAGCATGTGACGTTGAATTCATTGGGGTTCCAGAGAGTGACAAAGCATACCGCAGTCCAGATAGCACGTAATCTTGCCCGGCATTTTCGTGATTTCTCCGCTTTTCAGTATCGGCGAATTAGTTATTAATCGCAACGAGATGGATTCTATCACGAAAGTTATGAGCGTCGCCCGTCGGCGCGACGTGACCCTGGCAGTCTTGGCTGCCGAGGTTCATCAGAGCTTATCATCAGTAATCATCGCCCACCAACCACTCCACCTCTCCGCACGCGTCAAAACGGTAGATGCCGATACCCCGGATTTGTGCACAACGCGTAACTATTGGAATTACGGACTGTTCATCCGATCTCAACACCGAGGCCGCTCGCCTCTAATTGACTTTCTGATTATAAATCTGGCAATTCACTGACTCTATGTAACGGTCGTTTGCCCATGTGCCATTAAAGCAAGGGCCACAAGCTTGAATATTCTGTCCATCCTCAGTTATTAGTATTTTGAGACAATCAAAGACGAATCATGCCAGAGTCTACCAAGCAAGTTGCGCTCGTGGTCGGCGCTTCTCGAGGCATTGGTCGCCAAATTGCTATCGACCTGGCTAAAGATGGCTATGCAGGTAAGGAAGCAAGTGTACAACTTCAACCAGACAAATCTTGAATCATCAGATCCAAAAGGGAACACCAAAAGAGAAGGGTAATCAGAAGAAGAAGAAGAACTAGAAGCTAACCCACAACCACCCCCACACAGTCATCGTAGCCGCAAAATCCACCTCGGATGCCTCAACCACTACCCCCTTCCCTCCGGACCCCAACTCCCCCGCCTCCACCATATCCACCGTCGCCCGCGAAATCCGCGAAGCAGGCGGCGAAGCCACACCCATCCCCGTCGACACACGCTCTTACGCCAGCATCGAATCCCTCATCGCCCTTACCCTCTCCACCTACAACCGCCTCGACGTGCTCGTCTACAACAGCGGCGCAATCTGGTGGTCCTCCGTCGCCAAAACCCCCATGAAGCGCTTCCAACTCATGCAGCGCGTAAACGTCGAGGGCCTCTACGGCGTCGTGCAAGCCTGTCTACCGCATTTCCAGCAAGAAAACGGGGAGTGGCAAGGTAGAATTGTTATTGTTAGTCCGCCGATTTACTCGAGGTTTTTTCGGGGAAAGACAGCGTATGCGGTTGGGAAGGTGGGAATGTCGGTTTTGACTATGGGTCTCGCCATGGATTTTTCGCGTGAAGGTAAAAAGGATATGGCGGTGAGTAGTATCTGGCCTGCCACGGCGATTCAGAGTGCGGCGACGCAGAATCTTGCGAGGGAGCAGGCGAGTGAGTTAAGGACGCCGAGCATTTTCTCAGATGCGGTTAGGGAGATTATCAAAGCGCCTGTCGAACAGGTTAATGGGAGGTTGTTGCTTGATGAGGATTTTCTGAGGGAGAGGGGGGTGGAGGAGTTTGAGGGGTATAGTGTTGTACCTGGGAGTAGGCCAAGGAGGATTATGCCAGAGGAGTTTCCGGATTTGAGGGTTAAGGAGCAGGATGATGAGGGGAGGAGGATGGATAGTACGGTTTTGAGGGCTGCGGCCAAGTTGTGAGGGGTTGAGGATGGGGAGAGGGGAACGGTTGTGTTTGTTGTTGTCATTTTCTTCATGTTTGATTGAACTGATATGAAATACACTACTACCGAAAATTCACAAGAGAAATAAAGAGATGCTGTTTTGTTGATATGAAATAGTGGAGAGATGCCGTGTCATGAAATCTCCATCAGTTTCCCCTATTACACCTCAATCACTACACTCGTTCCCTCCCCCTTCAACATCACCAACGCATTAAAAAGTGCATCGGCCAAACTTCATCATTAAACACCCTAATCCAAACATTTTATTCATACGCAAACACAATGACCTCCCCTCCCTAACCCTCCCTCATTACCAAAACCAGCCAACCAACAAAATTACCAACTTACACCCCCCCGAGTCGGTCCAAAAAAAAGGATGATAACCCCAACTAAGAACACCATGCATGGCTTTCAAACGCCGCAAGACCAAACTCTCCCCCAATCCCAAAAACACATAAAACCAAAAAAGACAAATAAACCACTACTAATACAGGGAATTTTGATTTCAAAACTTTCGCAAATTACACATGCAAAAACTCAGTAATCCATTAACTCAGGTCGGACCAAACTTGCCCCTCCCAGCGCCCTCGAATTTCTGAAGAGGAGAGAGAGGGGTATATAATATATATAGAACATGCTCAATTAGACCAGAAGAAAAGTTTTTTCTCTCTTGGTGGTGGTGGTAATAGGAGGGGTGGAATCCTTCATATAAGAAAGGGTATATAATTATCGAGCAAAGCAGCGCGCGCAGACAGACAAGACAGATAAGACAACAACGTCTATGTGAGTAGGAGGATGATGATTGGTGGTTTGTGGTAGTGGAGAGGGCGGGAAAATAACAGTATGCTTCGCTTTGTAAAAAAACATATGCCATGCTGATCAGATTAAAATTGCGCGACGAGCGTTGCGAGCGTGCGCGCGTACCAGGGTTAAAAGACAAACGGTTTCCTCTCCTAATCGACCGGGGAAAAAAGGGACCAAAAAATTCATGCATGAGGTATCGAGTTCTCGCAATCTCTCTCTCTTGTAAAGCAACAACGGTTGCCTGCCTTGTGGACAGGAGGTGGTCCATCGTTCATCTAGTATAGACGTCCTCGACTGGCCTGGCTCGCTCGGCTGGGGGAAGTCCGACTTCGCTCATCTTCCTCTGGTACATCGCTCAACCTCGTGGGGTGGTGATGTCTCATGCCCACCCATTCGTCACCATATCCATCGCCGCTGTAGTCCGGTTGACCTCCAGCGGTAGCGTAACCCTGGCCATGTGAAGATGACGCACTTGAAGTTGTTGCATAGCCACCCTGAGATGTGGCAGCTGAGCCGTAGTGCTGCAGATGCTCGAGCTCACGTCGACGGGCGTCTTCTACGTCGTATTCGTCAGAGACAGGCGACTGGATAGACCGAAATGGGATACGGCGACCCGAATCATCGCGGACGTAGTTGCCTCTCTCATCAAGGACAAACTCGACATCAGCCTCCGACTCTTCTGCTTGAGATGTGACATAGGATTGTACGTCCTCTGGCACACCAGATTCCGACTCTTGGTGCAGATATGACGCCGGTTGCTGGTAAAACGCCTCAGGTTGCGACATAGCGGGCTGGGTGGGAGTTCGCTGCGCTTCAGACGTGTAGTACGGATACTGCAGAGGAGCTGGAGATAGCGCAGAATCTCCAACAGAGCTGGCGCCGCCTGGTCGCGAGGAGGTATTCGAAGCCGCGCCTGACGGAACATAAGTCCCTTGAGACAAAGGAGCAGGCATATCGGTCTCTCGCTGGCCATGCCGACCACCCTCGGTAAAGGGATCAGTATCGGTCGGCGATTGAGGACCCTCTTCGTAAGAATAGTGTTGCTCAATGCCTGACCCACTCTGTGCACCGCCGTAGGTATCATCACCATGGCCCCTTCCTCCACGTCCCATGTTCTGCGCCATTGGAACCACCTGCACACCGCCAACGAGAGTAGGCTGACCCTCCCTTAGCGAAAATGTGCGATCACGCTCCTCTTGCTCCCGTCTCCCAAGCTCTTCCCACGCCCGGCGAGCCTCCTCCTTGGAGATTTGCAACTCGCGCTTCATCTCCGACACGGCCCGCTCCGCATTCTTCTTCTCGGTGGCCATGCGCTCGAGATTTGCCTCAGCCTCAAGACGCAACTCGCGCTCCGCATTGATCTGCTCTGTTAACTGCGCCTCACGCTCCTGCGCCCTTTCCTGGTCCTGGCGGTGCTCAAAGAACCATCTCTGGAACTTGCGCTCCGAAGACGCGCGCAGCCGCTGTAATTCCACCACGGCATGAAACAGGTTGGCGCCAGCAGCTGAGAGATCGGTGATTTGCCGCGACAATTGCTGAGCCAACGGCTCTCTACGGACCTCATCGGTATTCTGTTCGAGCCGGCGGATCCAGTACGATGTCAGGCCTTCCCAATGCGAAGAGAGGGTTTCCCAGCGCTCAAAAGCATGTGGAAAATTTGACGTTGTTGATTCGCGAGCTTGTCCAGTAGCCGAACCTGGCGCAGGCGGTGCGCGCGCCTGTGCAGCCGCCGACGGTGCTGGTTGTGATGAGGTTGGAGGAGCAGAAGGGCGCCTAGCATGGCCCGCGCCAGGTGGTCTCCTGCCTGGCTCTGCAGTAGTCGGCACGCCGAGATTCGCCTGGGTAGGCCGAGTCGACTGCTGGCTTTGCGTAGCGGCCCTTGGCCTCGACTGCGACGCGCCCGTTGTTGCATCTTGTGGATCGTTCATTGTACCCTGGGGTGGAAGGGGCCGTTCGGGCTGACGTGGCACTCCCCCAGACGATGCCGGATATTGTACGTACTGATCGCCGGGTCTCGGAGCTGCTTGAGGCTGCCTCTGGGTTCCGGCTTCTGTTGTGGGTGCTCCAGCTACACCAGAAACAGCTTGAGCTCTTCTTTCCACGCTGGCTCTCCTGCGTTCCTCCTCTGCGGCTTTTCTTTGTTCCTCCACTTCAGCCCTTTGCCGCCTAGCGTTCATGATCTGCGTAGGGGTGCGGATATTGGAGCGATCGACAGGCACGGGACCACCAGTTGTACGGGCCCCGCCATTGGCAGCGCGCCCACTCGTCAAGTCTGACATTTGGGCGTTTTCTTCAACCAGGTCCGGGGTGAATGGATGTGGGACGCGAAGCGCCTCTTCGAGCACGAAGCGTATTGCTGATGCAGTACGCCGACTGATTCGAAGGGCAGGATGAGGTTCTGTAGAGTAAGGGCGAGGTGTTTCGAACCGAACACGCTGTTGCTGCTGGCCCGGTTCGGCCGACCTGGCGCGCTCAAAGTTTGGCGTGCGGCGGAGGCTGTTTGCGACACTACCGGTAGAGCTTGAGGCTCTTGAGCGATTGTGCTGCGTGCGATAGAAGGCTTCCGCTTGGTCTTGGCGTAGCTGGAGCGAGGTACGATATTCGGGAAAGGCTATTGGCGCGTTTCGGTCGTGGTCTCGTGAAGATGAGTCGTGAGAGGGAAATATGTTTGCGGGCGGTGATGGACCGCTGGACGTCACCGTGAGGCCAGGGACCAGCGCGCAGGGCTCAATTGCCCTTGAACCGTCGAGGAGGCACCCGCCGGGTTGGAATTAGATGCGCCAGCAGCAGCAGCAGCAGCAGCGGCGGCGGCGGCGGGTACTCGAGGGGAGGGGGGACAAGCTAAGCGGCACACGAAGGGCTGCTTATAGCGGAAATGCACGAAGGCTGGCTGCAAAGTAGGGGATTAGACACAGAGACTGGGGGGATTGCTAACAGAGGAGCCATTGCTGGTACGCGGCCGGGGGGCGAGTGTACGCGCGAGTGACCGGGAGGTTGGGGGGTGCAAGGTGAAAGGGCTGGGAGGTGGCTGGGAAAGCATCATGAATGTCGACTTACACCTCTCACCGACACTTGGACAAAACAGAACAGCGAATTGCGCGCGGATGCTAAACGTACGAGTCGACTTGACACGCATGCGCTGAGGCGTCGTCGCAAGGCGAAGGCGCGCCAGTTGGTGCCCCGATATGTCAGGGTTTTTGTGTTATGGACGAAGCCAAACGTCGCCCGGATTGGAGGCGGACCTTCAGCCGCAGCGCTCGGAAGCGCGGCGCCCGGGGAAAGCGATATCGAATAAAACGAGTGACTGGAGAAGACAACAGCGTGGGATCAAGTGGGCATCGAAGGCAGGCAGCCGAGCGATCGCGGTCCTTTTGGGGAGAGCGGCGGCTGGTCGAGGGCGCAGAGGATCACCGGGTGTGCAGCAGTAGCAGCAGCAGTAGTAGCAGCAGTAGCAGATGCGACCGAGGGTAATGGAACTTGGGTCAGGTGGAGTCGCACTGGCCGGTGTGCAGCACAACAGGCATGCAAGGCGACTCGACGGCTACGAGGGGCGAGTGGTGCCCTGACAGCAGCCGTGGTGCTCGGTGACGGTGACGGCAACGATGGATTGCCAACTCATCGTGCTTGTTGTGCTAAGCCGGGCATGGAGGACATGGGGGCGGTTTGGCCAAGGTACAGCGCAAGACGGAAAGCGGAATGACCAAGTGTGATTAGCGACCGCCACCAGCAAAGCAGGGAACAGCACCGCCCCCGTCCGGCTTACGTACACAAGTGAGGATGTGCAGGTAGATCAGTCGTCCCCAGATGTATCGACTTGCGCGTATACTTGTATACTTCCATATATACATATGCACCTAGTAGAATTACAGTACAGCAACTCCCTTCTTCGCCGCAATTACCTCATCGCGCTTGCTCCCCGCCCTCCCACACGCGCCTGCCCAATCGGCGGTCCTCCGTGCGAGCAGGAAGGAGCGGCCCGCGTCCACTGGCTCCAAACCAAACGTCACACCCATCTCCCTGCACTTGCACCCTTCACCCACGCCGACTACTGTACTGAACCTCTAGCCATGTATGCACCTCTATATCCTCCAACGGCGGCTACGCCTCACACCGCACTGCGCCCCTTCAGCGGTACAGTGTCTGCAGCCATACACATCATGTCGGCTCCTGAAGCCTGCATACGTGCCAGCAGCACAGGTCCACCATAGCTAGCGCCAATACGGCAAAGTCTGCTTTTCTATAAACCTAGGAATCCCATGTTGAATGCGCCAATTAACTCATCGCCTATCATCTGCCTCGAGCACACGCGATACCCTGTCCAAGACTCGAAGACTGTGTTCCACGCGTCTTGGACTATCGCACACAGACATAGACACAGACCAGAAGGCCTCCCTTCCTCTGCCACAACGCCATTCCCGAACCACAATCTCCCGACCACCCAAGTGCTGCGAAAAGCCCTGAATGTGCGTCGTAGTGTCGTCAAATCCTCCATTGTCCCCCCATGACTCCAGCTCAGTCCATTCCTCAGTAGTTGCTCCTGAAAAAAAAAGTAGAGAAAAGAGACAATCAAAGGGCATATCATGCTGTTGCCAGCAAACCCTCTACATGTCCCTCACTCCCTAGCGTCAGCCCCGTGATAATGATGAAATTCCAACGCCCGCAAAACAAATAAAATCGAGTAATTCCATGCCAGAATCAAACAGTTTCGCCAGAATCAGAACGCGAGCTGGAAAGCCAGTCCAAAGATCGTCTTACCTTGTGCTTGAAGCCGCTAGTCTTGGGCATGGTCTTCTCCTTAGGCGCTATGCTGTCGAAGCCGTTGGCTGCAAAACCATCCACTGGGCTCACATTGTCGAAGCTGCTATCAGTAGATATGCCCGACTGCACCGTATTGGCGCTCTTAACTAAGGTTAGGCTGGCACCCATCGAAGCGGCATTACTGTACGTGGCTGAGCCGTCGACCGTAGGCATCTTGGGAGAGTTTGGAGACACTGAGCCGGCAGCTGGCGTAGCGACATCAGAACCACAGACCGACACGTCTGAAGCCATGCTTAACGGCGCCTCAATGCCTATCAGCGAAAGAGATTTTGAAAGGCTAGGAGGGCCTTTTCCTTTCTTGATAATACTGTCAATGGCATCTCCCACTTCCTTCATCTGAAGTGCTGTCTTTGTCAAGGGCATCGGAGAAGGCGACAGCGGTCCATTGGCTGGGGTCGAAAGGACAGTTTCCTGGGAGACAATCTGGCCATGGTTGTCATGCTGATCGCCATGATCGTCAAAGGTTCCAGTCCAGTTGGGCCACTGAACAAGACAGCGCGAAATGGCACAGTTGAAAATCTTGCTCCATCCATTGTGGGGAGTAAGCGGGGTCTTCGGAGCTCGCAGGCCGCTATCAATGCAGTTTTTACCGCAGGTCAGCAAGGAGATGCGAGAAAGTTCATGCTCAAAAGGAAGATAATCGACAACGAAGCCGTCAAGCTTAAGGCACCTAGTCAACCATGTCAGTGATGGCTTACATTTTTTCTTCAAGATCAACACCACTTACCACAGTGGAAGTGGCTTAGCTTCATCCAGACCTGCAGCGATACGTGCCTTGCGCATGCAGAAAGCATCGAGATATTCGCCCATGCCGAACGAGTGGTGTAAAACACCCTTTCCTTCGATGCCCCTGAAAATTGCCAAAGCCTCTGGTTGGACAACATCATCTTACTCAGGGCTAGAGAATTCCAACTCACTTGTACTCCTTCTCATTAGAGTCCTGCTTCGGAACCGTCAAGCCCCTCACATCCTCAGCTTTATGCCAGTGCGTCGCACGAACAAGCGGCTCAGCAGCCATCTGCAAGTCAGCAACACGCATGCCACTCTCGGACACATTCATAAATATAGTCTCCCAGACAACAGACTGCATCGAGTCGTGCATACGGAACAGCCGGAGCTCCTTAAGTTCGGTCTGCTGGACAAGAGGCCGCATATCCGTCTGCGTAATGTACGACTTGTACTCGATGTCGCCATCCTGCTCGATGCGGATGGGCTGGCCGAGATCGAGAACGAGCTTCGTAAGGGATGTGGGGAGCGTCTCCCAGACTACGCTCATGAAGGGGATACCTGCGATCCAGCTGCGTCGTGTTAACAAATAACCCTTGAAAGGATGAAGAGAGAACTTACGTCAACTCCTTCAAACCAGGCATCTTCTCAATCATCTTCGCAATCTTTCCCACCGCCTCCTCCCACTCCCGCTCAGACTTGCTCTTCCCATGAAACTGCAGCAGCATCAGTACCTCTCTTACTCCCTATAATCCCCTCAACGAAAAGTAACAAACACTTACCTCATGCTCTCTATCCCCCACCTCCTCCTCATCCACAGCACTCCTCCACTCCCCAACAACATACACCTTCCTAACCCCCCCACCCACCTCCTCACCACAAGCAATCCGCGCCTCCACAACCCGCTCCACCCACTTCACAGACTCAACCGGCCCACCCTCCCCATCAGCCCCAACATCAAGCACGAAGCAGTCCTCACCCTCGCCATCACGCTCCAGAGCGCCATCCAACTCGTACGGCCGGAGATTCGCCACGAGTTCCGCCATATTCGCTTTTCTTTCTTTCGTAGGGTCGTGTGATGTGAACGTAGGTGCGTAGCTGTAGTTGTAGCGTTACTCAGCTACGTTTGCATGCGTGAGTTATGCTCAAGTAGCAGTAGTAGTCGTAAAATCTTAGGTTTCCGCGTTCGTTGTTAACCGGTGCAAAAAGGTGAACCACGGGTGAAGAAAGGCTTGAGTGAGAAAGAAAGCAAGGTTCCCGCTTCGCGAGGTGACTACCGGATTCGACCAGCGGTGAAATTTTCGCCGTTTGCTGATTGGAGCAGGTGAAGTGGCGGGTTGTGTTTGTTTGAGGGAGGGGGGGGGGGAGTTCGAGTGAAGGGGGAAGGTGCGGGTTACGGGTTTGAGGGGAGTGATGCGAGTGGAGTAGTGGTGGGAGTGGGTGCCTTCCCCTTCGTTTGCGCTGGGCGCGGGTGCTTTCTGAATTTGGTGAGTGAAGGGGGTGAGACTGAGTGAGACTTGTTTGGTTGGGTTTAGGGTGTGGTGCTGAGAGGTCTGTATGAGGAAGGGGTGGTGGGAGGTCATTATGCACGTTTCTTATACGATGAATATGATGACGGTGGATAATGACATTGTTGTATTAAAACTGCCAGCAACTTTGGATAAGGGAAAGATACAAAGAATGTGGTGCGGGCTGTATGACTTTTTGGTATTCATTCAAAAGAAGTTTCATATTTTGCAAGAACTCATTTTCGCTCAATTTCGCCGCAAATGCTGTAATAATATACAAATACTACGATATCGCCATACCTTATTCCGATTCAGTACTCAACACATGTCTCCCATACCAAAATATTTTCGTCCTCTACATCCACGAATCGCACTACGAGTCTCTCCTCCTTCTCGGTGGCGGAGTACTAGAATCCCTCCTGCGCCTCGGCGGTGGACTAGCGCTATCATCCCTCGCTCTGCCCTTACCCTTCGACGGCGGCGGGCTAGTCGACGCACGCCTGTGTCTGGGAGGCGAGGTGCTAGAATCCCTTCTACGTCTGGGCGGTGGGCTCGCACTATCATCCCTCGCTTTGCCCTTGCCCTTCGATGGCGGAGGGCTGCTTGAATCGCGTCTGCGTCTTGGTGCTGGAGACGGCGACCGCGAAGGAGACGAGGAATATCTTCGACGGCGCGGAGGTGGGGAGCGAGACAGTGAGCCTGTAGGGCTGCGGTCACGCCTTGTGGATTTGCTTTTTGGTGGTGGAGAGCGGGATACGGAGTATGAAGGGCTGCGGCCTCGACGGCGAGGTGGCGCAGAACGAGAGCGGGAGCGGGAACGGGAAAGGGAGGATGAGTAAGAGCGCTTGCTCTTGAGCTTACGGGGCGTTGGGGAGCGAGATCGTGAGCGGGATGCGGAGTCATAGCTAGCACTCCTGCCACGACCACCACGCTTGCGGTCGGGCGTTGGGCTGCGTGTATAAGACCTGCCTCGCGAGCTAGATCTCGAATCACGCCTTCTGCGAACAGGGCTTCGTGATCGAGAGTAACTGCTCGAGGTGTAGCTTGACCGCGATGAAACACTGCGATCGTCTTCCGAATCACTCTCTGGCTCGGGAAGTGGCTTTGGCTTGGGTGCACTGTTTTTGAGCCAGTCACGCATACCCTCGGTAAGCACACCCATGCCGATAGCAGTGAAGAAGTTGATCGAGAAGCGTGTCTTGCTCTGGTCATCTGCATCTGTGGGGAAGATGCCAGTAAGGCTGTCCTGGAGCATAGGGTCCTTGAAGCGTTCAACTACAGCCTTCTGGCCGAGCGAGGCAAGAAGCTCCTCGAAAAGAATCTTGACAAAGATACGAGAACTAGAAGTCGTGTCCTCTTCCGTCATCTTCACGACTTGGAAGACGTGCCAGCCGATACCGTCGGATGCTAGCAAATGGGCGAAGAACTGGGCGATGATGCGTAGGCGGTTCGTCTCAAAACGGTGAATGGTCTCGTAGTAGTGCGCAAATGCTTCCTCGAACAGGTCTGTCCACATCCGGTTCAGCTTGCAGAACCGCTCTCCGATCATACCGTAGAACTTCTCGTAGGTTCTCTCCTGGCTAGCGCACTCCACAATCATGGTAGTGAGCTCGTTCTCCAGACCCTGTGGCAGGTTGATTCGCATCAGCTTGTGTACACACTCTTCGAATCCACCACTACTCTTGATGGTGAGGTAGATGGTTCGGCGCAAGTTGACGAGATCCGCGTTGGTCTGATCCTTGACATCCATAGCCTTGATCTCTTCATCTTCCTCATCTTCGGATGACGCATCCGTATATCCGTCATCGTCACTGCCCTCCTCTTCACCCAGAATTTCCGCCTTGATCTTTGCATATTCCTCCTCGTGGGCTTCGTAATCAGGATCGAACTTGAAAATGTTCAAGCCATCCTCAACCTTCAAATCACCCTCAAGTGTATGGTTGTGAGTAATTTGATCTTCCTCCTCAATAAGATCCAACTCTTCCCTCACGACCGGGTTGTCCTTGTACTTTGTGCGCCGAACTTCGAAAAGCACCTCGATCATGTATTGCGTGCGCTTGTCAATGTCAGCTTCGTGGAGGATGTTGCGCATCTGGTCAAAGATGGCGTTGGCAATGGCAGGTTTCATCTCGTCGAGGAAAGCGCCGACTTCCTTCATGATGCCGACAGCAATCTCAACAGAATCGTCGGAAGGCTTGTTGAGTAGGAGCAGGAGGATTTCCGCAATGAGGATTTCATGGACGACCTGGGTGTTGACGAGGTGGGACAGAAACATGGTACTCGACAGCGCAACGGCCTTGTCATTCCTCCTGAATCCCTTCCTGAACTGTACGATCAAACGACGAACCAGCAAATCGCCGACCTGAGGTAGTTTGGTGTTCACAATGGCTACCATGGTTGCGTAAATCGGGGTAAAGGGCAAACTGGCCGCCTGCGCCTTCATGATGGCTCTGCAGAACAGGCCTCGTCCACGCACCAGGTTCTCGGAAAATAGCTCAGGCACAATCATCTTGATGTTGGCGGTATTCGTCTTGTTAATCAGACCCTGAATCGACTTCTTCAGCGCCTCCCAAGCCATGCGCTGGAACTCTGCGCTCTTCTTGTCCGTAATCGACTTTTGCATCTCGCGCAGGCGAGCGGGTGGGATGTACGCGCCTCCAGCACGTGTCTTGGAGTCGTCAATCGGCAGCTTCCGGTTCGCGCTGAAGGCATTCTGGAAGAGCTTCAATCGCGAGTCGTCCTCGGGCAGGTCATCGGTCGTTGGCTTCGGCGCCGGGCGACGGCCAGCTTCTCCGTTGCGATGGTCATCCTCCTCATCTCTCCGACTTCTCTTGGATGGCCCAGCACTCGGCCCATCGTATGGCGAGCGCTCGCGTTTGCGCGGAACATCTTGCGCATCGACCTCGGGCTCTGGTGAAGGCGAAGGTAGTCGGACGGCAGATGCGACCTCCATGACCGCTTAGTAAGAGGGTCGCGGGGGGTGGGGGGAGGAAGGGTGAAGATGGGAGAAGTCAAAGTGGAGGCGTGTAAGGTGACGCGCCTCGCAAAAGTTTAGCCTGGAAGCTGGCCCAGCAATGCAGTTGCGGCGGACGGACCGCGGTTTCGCCGACAGGGGTCTGGGCTTGGCGCGTCTTCCCGGGAGAGAGGGAGGAAAGGGACAGCATGATGGTTGCAACCCAGTCTCACTCCTAATTAATTTCACTCTTTCCTTATTCCAACAAAACTTCGCAATGGTATGAGATTGAGCATGCACAATCAAGAACAATGTAGACTAACTGTAAACAGGCCGATCGCCTCGTGGGTCTCAGCATGCTCGTCGCAGCGACTGCCGTCTTCGTCTACTACACCGTCTGGACACTGTTCATGGTATGGCTACCATTTGAAGATTTTCTGGCCGCAACACATGTACTAATAAACATCTATAGCCCTTTGTTGATGATGACCACATCCTTCACTCTCTCTTCCTCCCTCGCGTCTGGGCTATCCGCATCCCCGTCATCCTCCTTATTCTCGGTACCACCGTCGTTGGCAGTTTCGTCTCGGTAGTAATGATCAAGAGCAATCGCAAGAAGGCACTCAAGGCCCAGCAAAAGAAGGCATCATAAACAAAAGCTAGTCCTAGATATGGACTTGGCTCTGGAGTAATGGGGTGAAACCCATCACCCGTAAAAGGGGTCTCAGTGTAACACTACAGGGTCGTTACTGGAATTGACAGATGATAGTATAATATTGACTTTTAGTCGTTGCCTTTCTAGAATGGCTTAATCCTGGCCTGGTACAGGTGATTGTGAAGATATCACAGCCTATACGCCGAACTGCAAGCATTTCCCTTCTTTTTTTGGCTTTACAATTAGTGTCCTTTTCACATGATACTACAATTGTCCTCAGTGATGACAATTGCCTCGTTGCCTTCCTCTCCTTCCTCGCCACCACCATTTCCAACACCGCCGACTTGACCTCTAGCCAGGTGTCTAGCAAGTTGCGCAAATACCGCCTGGCTGATGAAATAATCGTCTCTTTCACCCTTGCGATCCAGGTCATTCTGGCTTGTGATTTGATAACTCTGATGCATCCTGCGCCGACTAGCAAGTCCGCCAGGCATAACCTCGTCATCGCTATCACTGAGTGCTGCAGTTGCAGGCTCAGTCTCGGTTTCGGCTGCGGGTTCAGTGGTGACATTACGGCCACGGCGACCCCAGCGGATGCTAGAGAAGGAAGTGGGGTCTGCCGAATGCACGCCTACGCCTTTTCGAGCGTTGTGTTGGAGATGAGCATCTGGTGAGAATATCTTCACTGTGTGGTCAATGCCCGATACAGCCATGAGTGGTTCATAAGGATGGCCTAGGTCCTGTTAGCTAGACATCTGGTTTTGTGCAAATTGACAAACGTACCTTGAATAACATTCACAACCTCTCCATCCCCTTCCAGGATGTTGAGAAGTTGTGAGGTCTTTCGATCCCAAATGAAAACGTGACCTGAGTCGCTTCCGCTGACAACGTATTCGTCCTGAAGACCAAAGTAGTTGACATCTTTTACCGTTTTGACGTTGCAATGTCCCGTGTAAACACGGGTATGAGGTGCGCAAGGCACGTCGCGTTCAACCTTCCATCGTTTGTAGCGACTGCGACCAAAGTCGGTACGCCATAGCATATGTCCACTTCTTGTCCGCCGTAGTCCCTCTTCATCTTCGTCCTCCGAATTCTCAGAATCCTCGTCTAATCCATCTTCAGAGTCGCCATACCAATCATTTTCGTCATCCTCATCATCGTCATCGTCTTCGTCGTCATCATTTTGTTCTTCCCCTTCCTCGTTTTCCCCAGGATTCTGAACGACGGTGGACCTCGATCCTGTTGGGGTAGCCGAGCTTGTGGAACCGTCCTCGTTTTCTGCTTCTTGGTTCGATGTCCTAATCAACTCTGCATCACGGACAGGGCCTTCATCGATCAGAGGATCGATATCTGCTTGTCGTGCTCTCAGCGCTCTCTCTTCGGCTCTGATTTGTTTGTCCGAGATGCCACGACCGCCATAGGCGCGATCCACGAAAGCAAAGTTGATGTCCTTCGAAGCGTTGAGCAGTACCCCCCTTCCAACTTGATATGCCCATCTCCTTTTTGCTGCACTTCGCGTCTGTGTAGGTTCTTCTGTCGAATCTCCCTCCGTCCCATCTCCGTTTGTGCCAGTGAGATCTGCAAAAGGTATCCGTAGCGCCTGACCAAAGGCATCAACTGCTTCAATCTCAGAAGAAAATAGAATTCGAGTGGCGTCCGTCTCAAACTTGGAAGCATCAGGATTGACAATGCTATCATCGCCTGCAAGGTTCATCAGGTAAGGAATCAGTTGCTCTTGTATGGCGTCCATGTCTGCCCCATGCGGGAGAGGTAGACGAGCATTGCTACTCCGTCCAGAGAATCCCTCTACTACTGCGCCCGGGCCACTATCAAGCCACAAAAGTATGGCTTTCAAAAAGTCATATCCGAAATGTTGATGCCGAGGCAACTCTCTCTCGCGTGGCGCTGGCTGAATCGATGCAAAGTACTGTGCAATCAAAGCGTCTGAGCTAGATCCAGTCAACAGCTGTCCACCCAACACTCGTGCCAGCGTTCCAGCTGCTTGCACAAACCGGCGCGAAGCTGCCCTGCTGTCACGGAGCTTGTTTTGTACCGCCACATCAACGGGATCTGGGTCAATTGGATAAGTCCATGTCCGATCTATGTCATCCATATCCGCTATTATTGAGTTTGCCAAGCCGAGGATGGAGGTGAAGGCCAGTTGCAGTCCGGTCTCTCCGTGTTCACCAAGATCGAATATGCGCTTTGCTATCTTGACAGTTGTACTCGCAATACGGTAGTGGTCGGTTGATCGCAATTCGTTCAGTTGCTCCTGAGTTAGGCGACTCTCAGCAGGCGTCTGGATGCGAATATCTTCACTTTGTCCATTGCCATAGGTGACGCGTAGTGCAAGGTCATCTTCCGTACTATCATTTCGTGGCCTAGATCCTGCCCGCTCAGCGGCTTCTTGAGACGATGCACTTGACTTTGGTCGCTTGCGTTTTTTGGCACTGTCCTTGACCCGACGACCAGATGTACTGCCTGATGCTTTTGTTGGTGTTACATTTTCTCTCGCATCCGGACTTCTCAAAATGTCGAAGCTATAGATGTGGTCTTGAGACCAGCTTACGATGAGCTCGTTGGGCTGCGCGTCGCTTATTTTACATGAAGTGATGTGACCGCTGTCGCTTCTACTCATGCGTTGCTTCCCATTGGGCGCGAACTTCTTAACACACTGTGTCGCCTTTCCTAGAAGCTCCTCATCGTTCTCGTTCCAACTTGCTGGAGTGGAAAGTCTGGAACCGCGCTCACGGTTGATGTCACGGCCAAGCATGCGCCGATCATGCAAGAAGCAATGAAGGTGCGCCCCACCAAGTGCTATATAGTGGGGTTGGCTAGGGGAACAAGAAACCGTGTTAAGATCCAGTCCATATCGACTGTACGAGATGAGTGGAGGCGGAATATCATCAGATGCGTCGTCGTCCCTTGCCCACGCCGGAAGCATGCTGTCTCGTGCTGGTGGATATGCCCTGGCTGGCTGCCTTATATCCCATTGACGTACATCTCCATCGTTGGAGCAGGTCATGAAATAGAATGGGTTGTCTTCTGTGACAATCCTCTTCACAGTGTCGGTGTGGCAGCGGAATGCTTTTGCATTTGTATCGGCCTCGGTCAGTGTCACTCTGCTCCGTGCTGTACCCAAGTTTCGCGCACCACCTGCTCTAGACGCAGTTCGGAAGGCCGAGTGACCTGAATGCTCAATGTCGAATATCCTCACGTCGTCTGTTGCGCTAACGATGGTACGGTCGCCCGAGTAAGGCATGAACTTTACGGAGAAGATGTTCGAGCGATGACCTGTCTCGATAGACGTGGTGAGGTTGAACTGGTCGGTCGATGATTCGGGGTGATATGCATGAATGTTGATGCGGTGGTCGTCGGAGCCGGTAGCGAGGAGACGGCCAGATTTCGACCAGCTAGTGATGTTAGATACTTCCCTTGAATATCTGTAAAGCGATCTCTCACCTAAGGGCGTTGACGCATCCGTTGTGACCTTCAAGCTCGTTTACGATGTCGAGATTATCGATCCATTTCCGGTCGCCGTATATCGATCGGATGTCTGAGTACTTGCTGCGCTCTTGACCAACCTCTCGCTTGAGCAGCCGGTCGTAGATTGTGTATTTCATATCGGGTGGTGTTGAGGCTTGCCAGTAGCAGCAGGTGCTGTGTGAAAGGCAACCCCAGAAAGTAGCGGAGAGACAGAAGGAAGACTAGGCGAGGCTTCTAGAAACACCTAGACGAAGGTAAAGCGAATCGGGGAATGTCAGTCAGGCGGAACAATTCGTAAATTCGACGGCTTCTGTGTGAGCATCTCGGCGCCCTGGCAGTAAAGTTTGGGACGTGGTTGCGGGCGGCGCGTACAAGTCGTCGCTGGAGGTCGCGAACGAATGACGAAAGGTGACTAGGCTGTCTCCACCACGTTTGTGCTCCAAGCTCTCCCCCGCGGCCTGCCGTTTCCCTTCCACGACCAATCACCGCCGACATATGTAGAGACTTGCGCAGTGAGATGGCAACCCTTGTTCGGGACCAAGGATACAGATGCCAACCTGAGATGTGGTGATGAACACATCTTACTACATTTGGCATACTTCTGGTTGTTCCCCACCTTGGAACTAACACGTTTACGCAAAAGGCCATTATGACACGAGACATCACGACATGATAGTAACTGGGTATTATGAGCATTGCAAATAATTGCGCGACATTGAATTTTAGTCGGTAGAACGCGGATATAAGCATTTATTTACATGAGAATCAAAGTAACTACAAACACACTTCACCACCATGCATAACTCTCTTATTCAAAGAATTTACATGGCAAGAACAGCACCGACAGCACCAACAAACATCATGAAGCCGACACTAGCGCGGCTAGCAGCGCCCTCAAACTGCGGTGGCATAGATGGGAGAGGTGTGACGGGCTTGCCGGTACCAGTGGGCATGGGGACATACTCGCTAGTAGCGTTCTTAGCAGGGCCGGCAGGGATGTAAGGAACACCAGCCGATGGGTAAGGTGCAGGAATGTAAGTAGGAACGGCAACCTTGCTGAGAGTCACGTGCGTGCTGCTGACAGCCTCATGGTCCACGGGCTTCTTGGGGTAGCCAGTGCCAACAGGATACGAGGGGTACTCGGCAGCAGGCGAAGAGGCGGGCTGAGCGGCGGAGGGCACAGAAGGCACAGAGTGAGCTGGGTACTCAGGAGCCGCAGAAGATGCAGGAGCCACAGGGTACTCAGCAACCTTGGAGACTTCAGGAACAGTGGGGTATTCAGCGGCCTTGGAGACTTCAGGGATGGTAGGGTACGCGACCTTGGAGGCTTCAGGGACGACAGGGTACGCAGCCTTGGAAGCCTCAGGCACGACTGGATATGCAGGCTTTCCAGAAGAAATGGGGGAAGCAGGGTACTCCGCAGGGTACACGACCGAAGGAGCGGAGGATGGGTACTCAAGCACAGCAGTGACGGTGGCAATGGGCTTGGTGATTGTCACAGTCAAGGTGCTGGCAGTGTATACGCTCGTGGTCCATCCCTCAGGAACATCGGCGGTGCCGGTGGGCTTCGCGCACTTGGTGCAAACAGTCTCAACGTACGTCGTGGTGACAGTGGTGAGACCAGTGGGGCAAACATCGACGTAGGTGGCTTCGGGAAGTTAGTATGTTTTCTTAGGGTTAAATGCTACCTTGAACTTACTGGTAACGACACTGGTGGTAGAGCCGGTGGGAACAGTCGGGTACTCGGATTGCTCAGGCTTCTCGGTGACAGAAGGCGTGCTGTCATAACCAGTGCTGGACGCAGCTGGGTATTCTCCGTAGCCCTTGGAGCTCTCGGCTGGGTACTCGGCACCCTTACTGGCAGAGTATGTCTCAGTTGGGTACACTGCTGACTCAGTAGGATATACGCCATAGCTAGAGTTCACACCAGTGGGATAGGCGCCGCTTGAAGTGCTGCAGGAAGTTGAGGTCTCGCTACCTGAAGGAATAACGACAGAGCTGCTGGTGCTCTCGGGTGCTGAGACGGTGGGGACAGATGATGGTCCAACGGAGATGCTACTGCTGGAAGCGGAGGGGGAGATGGTAGGAATAGAAGAAAGCTCAACTGGGGTGCTGCTGGGAATTTCAATAGAGCTGGAGCTGACCATAGTAGCGCTGCTGGAAGCGGGGGTGCTAGATGCAGGAATGCTGGAAGCAGTGACACTCGAGCCTGGAATGCTAGAAGCAGT